TTAAGTAGACACAGATCTTGAATTTGTCTTTTTTTTATAAAGTCTTTATTGGCTACCACTTAAAAGCTTTACATTTTATTCTGTCAGGAAATGGCATTGTAACTTTGGGAGCAGCTTGAAGTGACATAGTTCCGCGGAAAATGCGCTACCATCCATATTGGCATTAAGTCCCTTTACACTCTAGCATCGACTTTAGATCGTCTAAAAGGTCATCCCGCGACTTTCCGTGGATATTTTAAGACGATAAAAATCAACAAAAAGCATAACTCCTATGGAGTAAAATAAGTTTGCATTCTAATAATAGGAGAGTCCGTCCTTGCTCTGATGAGATTTTTTTTGTTTAACTATATGTGTTTTATATTTTAATCAACTGCTTAACTTACGCTGGTAAAATTAAACATGATGCACTATTTGTCCGGAGCTAAGTGTCTTAGCTCCGGACTAATCCCCTAACTCTCACTCTGTCTGAAATTCATTAAACCACAGACTTTCTGGTAGCCTGTACACGTGAAATAAACTGATGATGACGAAATAAACAGTTCAATCGTAAAGCTTCTGTGTTTTTCAGCTGTCAATAAAATTAAATCACTTGTACTCCTTTTTTCCTTCATATTCCTTTGAATCGCTTTCAATATTCAGCTACGTGATTATGCAACCATAATCAGGTTTCGAAGGGCAACAAATACAAATCGAAGCCTTCGTTCTCAAAATTAAAATTGATCGATTTCTGTTGTCACTATTTTTGCCACCTCGAGCATTACAGTTGCCCTTTATAGCTCGCTTTCTTCGTATTTGCTATTCTTGTCGCCATACCCCCGTGTGGTGGAGCGTTCGTCGTCGTAAACCTCTTTCTGACCTTGCGTTATGTTCTGCGTTAGATGAATGCACTTAGAGAATTTTGCCTTTCTTATACCACACTTCTGCGCTGCTATACAAAATGAACAGGAAACTTTCAGTCTTTAATTTCCCCTCGGTCCTCTGGTATGGCCAGTTTTTGTGAGAAATGCTACCGCAGGCTTTCCTCCCGCGACCTTTCTAGGCAAATACTTTTGTCTAACCCCTTTCATATTGTGCCCCCTTTAAGATTCCTGGTCGTTTTAGGCTTACTATGATGTTCTTACGAGCGCATCGAGTGAATAGCTGACACGCATCTTCTTCCGGGAAAGAAATGGACCCTGTTCTCCAGTGTATTCCATCCCATATTACATGTTCACTTCGCCACTAGTAGCCGTGTACCGTTTCCAACAACGGCTCTGGTAGGCTGTAAGGCCCGTTCAAACTATAACTAAACAGCTGAACCCTACACATTTTCCTCGTACAGTGCCCATTCTTTTCACTCTCTCTTGTACGTTCACACGTTCTGCACTTCCCTGCCACTACCCTCTTAAATTCGAGAACTTGCAACGGAGCAGATAATATCGGGTAGCGAACAGCGCTCAGAGCATCTGCAATCATTTCGCTTTAAGAAAATAGAAAAAAATCCTCGTACAACGATCGATAGTGAGTCAAGGCCATACTGTTCGTGATACAGATGCTGCCTAAATTTGCAGTTGTGATGGCGGTGGCTAAACAGGGGCTGAACTAGAAGCCATGCTGATGCTTGTGGTGAGGAGTCGTCATCATTTCAGTGCATCGAGCAATTCGTTATGTATGTACATGTTTGGAATATTTTTGCCCTCCCGAAGAGTTCACTAGGACATAACTGTCTGATCTGTAACTGCAGCCGCAAAATCTGAAGCATGCGAAATACGTTTCTATACGACGGCAGACCCCGACTCGTTCCGCTTGCAATTATAGTAAGCGGCTTAGAAAAGCTACCTGCTCCAGGGAGCTCTGCGAGGAACTGCAAGCAAGTCAAGCGTCGACCGGCTAAGCGACAAATGCGTGTGGGGATAACCAGTCAATGGAGTAAAGGCAATGATTCGTGATGATGGCAATGGTAACAAAGTTGGAGTGGAGCGCAGTATTTGCTTGGCGAGAATTTGCGACCCACGAATCATCAATAGCTAAACGCTATGCGTATAATAAAAATGTGCCGTTTTGGAAACGATGTTCCAGCTCAACTATTCTTGCACTCATCGAAGTTGAAAAAAAAACTCGATTGACCCAAATTTAGAGCAATATATTATGGGAAACCAAACTTGAATACCTCGGATGATTGCGTTTGCTAAGTTGAAAAAAAGTTGGACTACTTGTGCTGATTATGATCCTCAATGTTATGGAAAATGCTGGTTTGAAAAAGGCGCCTCAACTTAATTGTGACTACACTAACTAACCTGCGTTAAGATCGAACATCTGATTTATTCGGATTACGCTGTTAGTAATTGAATACGATTTTTTGAAGTAAAAAAAGCTACAAGTATGTCTAGTTGGAACCCCATTAGATTCTGTGTCTGCTATAATTCTTAACGTCGGGTAAAAGCTCAATTCGATTTTTAATTCCATATGCACAAAACTAACTAAACTTTGAAGACCTAGAAGTTGTATAAATCGAAGTGAATTGGAAATACTGTAAAATACCAAGCTATGATGACAAACACTAATAACATGCAGTGAACATTAAATTTTTAATTGAAAGCTTCTTAAATACTAAAATAAGTAAATGACCCAGCTGTTGCAAGAAGGGCAAAAACGCTCCAACATGATCTTGGCCGCAGTAGAGGTCCGGGTTGAAAAAAGGCCTTATAGATAAATGGGCTTACTTCCTACTGACCCAAATATAGAATGAATCGAAAATTACTAGATTAACAGGCCCGGTCTTCGAGTAAGCAAAAGTCACAGTTTCGTACCATAGTCGTAATAATGATTCCTTATATAAAGAGTGCCAAATTAGACGGGGACATAACTAAACGATTTCTTGGGAATAATAATATAAGCTAGGCCCTGGCAGAAAATCAAACTTCCGTATTTTTTCACCTATATCTTAGCTGTATTCAACCATAGCACATTTTCGAACAACTAGTATTCCAGGACCTATATTTCGATCAAGTACTTAGCTGATCGTTAAAATATATCGATCATCAATAGCTTAGAGATAGCCAATTTCCCTGTTACGTCCGCTTGGAACAAACGTTCATTTTTCGTCCGAACCTTTCTACTATACAGATAGATTAACCTTTGTGTTACTATATTGTTACTCACTATAATATATCTACCTTATACGGTCTTAAACCTCCTGCCAGCCAGGGATTCGTTTGTAGACTGATATTTTTAGCAAGGTTCAACATTCTATCACGACCCTATTGTTCACTATACGTACATTTATGCTCGCTCTCTCAATTTTTTTTTATTCATTTTCTCCTGAAACGGACCTTACCTCCATACCCCCTTCCCAAGAGAATCGTATGCTGACTATTATCTGCCTTCACGGACTCTTGTTCCGTTGAATCCTTTTATCTAATATTTTTTAACATAGAAACGGCCACTGCGTCAGTCCAATTATCCTCTTGTTTAAGGAATACGTAACACGCTTCCTTCTCCTTGACGTTTAGACCTAGGTCTTATCTATCATCTGCTGCATTTTGCCAGTTTTGGTAATCCCTTCCTATTAGATGTTTTGCAATGGCTAGACCCGCTTGGGCGTTGTGGGATGGGGGCATTACCGCCACTGAAGGGTTTGTTTTTTATTGCAGCACAACCTTATGCCCCTACGTTCGGAAACCACAGAAAGAAAAACCAGAAAGTGGTAAGCTTGCAAGTTTATCTAAATTCGAGGAGATCAAATAATTTAGAGAAGAAAGAAGCGAGTGTAGAATTCAACTGTGAACGTTGTCTGAATTGTATTGCTGAATAGGTAGTCAAAAATGTCGTCTCTAGAAGGCCTCCAGCGACTAATTGTCGAATAAAACTTGTAGGTAACAGTCAAACAGCCGCATAAGGCAAGGAGACGAGCCTTTCACTATATATTGTATGCCAAATAGCCGCATAAGGCAAGGAGACGAGCCTTTCACTGTATAGTGTATGTCAAATAGCTGCATAAGGCAAGGAGACGAGCCTTTCACGATATAGTGTATGTCAAATAGCCATTGTAGTCGGTTAATTATGAACAGGTTTATTCTTGCAGTTTTCAGTTTGACTAGAAGAATCTATTAGGAAACATAAATAAAAGTTTCAATAACGGTTAACAGTTTAGAGCGACAATTTCAAAAGCTATAACAACGACAATTTCAAAAGCTATAACAACGTCTTTTCTTTAACAACGTTGAGCTTTACGTTTGGCATCACCGATGAGCGTCCCATCATATGCTTGGCTCCTAGCACGAAGTAAATTTTAGCTATGCTCGGATCCGAATCTAGACCACGACCTCTCTTTAATATTAGCAAAAAAAAATATGTCACTCACTATCCTATCTGGTTCTACTTATTGCGAGATAGGCACTCACAAAGTATTGTTGCTTTACTAACGACACCATTACTTTTTTTCTAAGAACGTCAAATCATAAAAATCGGTAGTCCCTATTCTGGTCAACGAAGGTGCAATTATTCTTCATTGGAGTCAATTGGTTCTTCAAAAGTCAAACTCTTATAGCAATTATAACTATTGCATTTTATTTAGCCTTTTCGGTATATTTACAATATCTATGTTTGTATGTTTAAATAGGAGCGATGTCTATTGTGTCATCAGGTGTTTCTAAGTTAGAGGGATTCGTAGGTTGCATGATAAGCGCTTATTTGTGTACAACGTTGTATTTGATTCAATAAATTATCATTATCTTTGTTTTCTGCTGTTTTATTATGAATTTATAATACATCTAGATACAGTTTTATATTATAGATCAACTAGAAATTTCACCTAAAAATCTGATTTTCGCAATCACCACTTATTTCTGTCTATGCTCGTGCTACAGTGGGCTCAATGGGCTCACTCTTCGGCGTGGTGTCTCTGCTTTTTTCTAGACATTATAAGATCATAGATTTTTTTAGAATAATTAATAATTAAGTTTGATTATCTTCATAATGTTGTTCGCTATTGTGTATCCTTGGGGCCACAATTAACTTAGATCGTGGCAATCATCCTTGTGAATACGGGCGTGGCACTGCTTGCCTACATGGACGGCGTGACGGGTACTACGACGCTCGTTGGCGTTGTGTTGTCTGCGACCGCAGCGGGTCTATCTGGCGTTTATAAAGTTACTTTTAAAAAGCTCATTGGTAAGTAAACCAGCCTATGCAAGTTGGCAGTATTATGTACATATGTATCCTCTAGAATAGTCTAGAACGAATTTAATCGCAGTGATAATTCACATAAAGGCTAATTGTACCTTAAACAAAAGAAGAGGGCTATTTTGTGTAGCGTAGTATGTCGCGCATCAACCGCTTACTGCGAAGTTTTAAAAACCCAGAGTTGAAGAAGATAAGGTTTGAGGAAGAATGGGTTTAGTATAGTTTTAGAGATCAAAATAGAAGCGCCCGACAAGAGGTCTATACTGGTTAGGAATATGCCAACTCAACAAGGTATAGCAGTGCATTCCCAATTCTAATAAATGCACGAAAACAAGATCAAACAAAATGAACGTATATAAAGTTTTTTTCTCTCTCAAATGTAAAAACAGAGCAGCTTTAAATAATATGAAAATACGTGCTACGGAGCTATGACGAGATATTGTGTTCGTTGTAACTTCTCTACAAAGTTGATATATGTCTTACGTACATTATACATAAATTCATATATGGTCTAACGATTCCCGATAGGAAACACTAAAAAACAAAGATCTTTGATGATACCAGTGGTGAAATAGATTGGTATTGTTTTGTTCGACGACGTAATTGGTCGTATATTATAGATAGTATCATTTAATTTTTCCTTGATTACATAAACACTTGCAAGGTTTGGAGATTTGAGCAAGTTTCGGAATTATAAGTACGCACTCATCTCGTTGCACGTACTGTCTCAGTATACCTTGTCCAGATCTCTAATTTCATAGCCTACGCCATTGATGTCCACTGGAGAAAATGATGCGGTAAAAATTCTTTTGCTCCTTCTCTATATGTAAAAACAGAACGCTACCCACTGAGAACAAATGCTGTTTACGACGGAGGGTTAAGAACCGATAAAACAGTGTAAGGTCCGTCTACCGGTAGGACCATCTTGGTGTATAAAACCTATAGCTAGGGGCCGGCGAAGTACGGCCGCAACTAGACGTGTGCTGCTTCGAAAAAGTAAAACGGATAGCTCTGTCCTAATTTCATACGCCGCCGGCATAGTTTGCCTACGTAAGATCACGAGGCCATAGCTGGAGACAGACAAAGGAACTCCGGAGACAAAAAAGTCGAAGAAAGCTGTCACGTGGGAAACATGTCAATGTTTTTTACTCTCAACAATGCACCGTGTTCTTCATGGGCTGTCGAAGCAGAGACCTAATCTAACTTGCTAGCCAATATAAAGAGAGAAAGATTAAAAATCTACCTTCGTGCTTAGATCGTGCTTGATGTAGTTATATATAGTGCATGTGTGAGTCCAATTCAATTAGAAAAAAATTCATTGACCTAAACAAATAAGCGAGCGTATCTATTTATCTGCTATGGGTCTAAATATTCATTCCTTGATAAGCAATCAACGTTGCTTTGCTTTATTGGTTACCCGTGTAAGGAACTTTCTGCGTTCGCCACTGAAAAGTTCCGACAAAATAGATCGCCTTGATCATCAGAAGCAAGTGGTCGTCTGTGGTTCAGATACTTCGAAAATTATGGCAGGTTCTTCACGAAGTTGACGTGTCCTGCTAGAGTAATAGACTAGAGTCTGCCGACGATATTTTCATTGTCGCTGTAAACATAGAGCAGCCGACCGTTAGAAAATATTTGGAGATATTTGACTGTTCAAGAAATGCATTGTCAGCTCGCGTTTGCGTGCACTCACATATACGTAACCTTTATAAAATATACGAGTATCAGGAAAAATCTTTCGGGTCGCAGCATTGTTGTTTTGTGTCGGTGGCTACATGTCTGATATATACAAAAAATACCCTGCAGACTTCCATAAGATACTTTTTCATTTCAACCAATAAAGCTAACTTCCATTATTTTTGCTTTGCTTCAGAGGTAAATGGGTATTTGCGGCTTATGGTACATTTGTTTAACTCAAATAGGACTTTATCCCACTGTATTTCCCTGATCAACGTTTCTCAATGATTTTCCAATCCTTTTTTCTGAGTAGATATTATTGACTCTATAGCTGTGAGCCTCAATCTTGCTACCTAACACACGCTTTAGTTTCCTGCTATTTGTTTTCGCGCGTTTGTCTTAGTTTAGGCTTTTCCCACTTGTCAATCTGTGCCTATTCGCATTTTGTCCTTGCAGGTGATGTGACGTTCGGCCAATTGGCGATGTTCTTCTCGCTTATTGGTTTTCTCAACATCGTCCTTCTTTGGCCGCTCGTTCTCTGCTCCTACCTTCTTAATCTGGAAAACCTCGTCTGGGAACATATGCCCTGGGGGCTACTCTTCGGAGCCGGGGCACTTTCTCTCAGTAAGTCGGGCCAGTTTTACTGCGCCAATCTCCGCTTTGTTTAGCTAGACTTAACGATTTACTTATTATTCACAGAGATCCCTCTCGCGTGAAAATAAAGTCATGTGACGATCAACGGTTACCTGTCAGACGTGACATTTTCCCTCCGTTGGTACCATTTCGCTAGACTGATCTTATTTTGTCGAACCCTCTTTACCGCTTCTTCGACCACTTCTACCGCTATCCATGCCGTTATCCATATACCATAGCTACCATTCGGTCACGAGGCGTATCCCTTATCAATACGTCTAAAAAGATATCCTGTTCACAACGAACATGAAGCGATCCACCAAATGGAAAGCTCGTGCGAATAGTAAAGAGAGATATCTTTTCTTGCATCATTTACAAGAGGTTTTCATTCATCGTTTACTTCGAGCTTCAATGTTCCCAACCATGCTAGTTGTATATATTTTGTCTCGCAATAGAATGGTATATATACTTCCTTTTGAACGCATATTTAGAACTCGTTGCCTGTTCTACCATTCTCTTTAGGAATCGATGCATACATGCAGTAAAGTAGCAAGAAACCATCATTTTACATAATTTCCATAATTCTAGATTTGACGTTGTGAGAAGATTATATTTTTGCTCTTAGAGAGTTTTGAACGTGGCTATTGTGTTTTATGAATTGTTTATATGGTGACTTTTGTTACGCGTACTGGAAAAACAGCGTGACTCACAACAGATCCACACCAAACGTGTGCTCAGCCCACATCTATGTATCGTTAAAACTACGGTCATCTTGACCGCCGGTTGCCAGTTTGTGCAAAAGTTTACCACTGTAGCTGAGGGCTTCCATTGGCTCCAAGTCCCGTGTCCATACTTTGCCTGTGGTCGCTTTTCACTTCTCGTTTTCAGTAGTAGATGGAGGTCATCGGAGGTGTAGACGGAAAGGACCTCTCCCGTTTCGGAACAACATCGCGTCAGAGCTCACGTTATAGCTGTTATTTTTTTGCATCACAAGGCCGACGCCACTGCGTGCATCAGTGGCTTCCTTGCACTCTTTTACCTTAAGGAATAACGTATCGACGGTATTTGCAGACACTGTGCCGCAACTTGTTGAAGGTCATACAGCTCTGTAACATCGGCTACTTTCACCTCCTGTCGAGTGGCATTTATAAATTGCATCGTATATTTCGAGGACAATGACAGTTATGCAGCTTTTGGCGATTCCAGATTCGAATGTACCCGAACACTCGATCTGGCGGTAAGAAGGAGCGCCCAAACATCAGAAAAGCCAACTGCTCCTTTTGTACCCATCAGTATCACTTTCTGTCGAAATAGAGCCATGTTGAGCTTATATTTCGATGGAATATCCATTACATACAACGTTAACGCCCTTATAGTCTATAGCACAAAGACGGTAGAGCACAGCTGACTCAACAGCGTTAGCAGGTTTGAATTGTTTCGAAATGTACACTAGACAAAGGAATACGTTGCTTTTAGTCAAATGCACTTTTAGATTTCGTTGTAACAGTCCACCTGTTAGCTGTTGTAGGCAGCCTGATTCGGTAGTTGATGATACACTCTTGCTTCTCTGGATTTTACCGTAAAAATGGCCTCGTTGTTAATCAGCTTACGCTTCCTTAAAACGTTTATGGTCACCACAGTATGCTACAAGGTATATGGTGTATTAGATTAGCCTGGTAATATGATATATACTTTGCTATACCGTCGTATCGATTTTTTGTGGATCTTATTTGCCACCAAGGATTTGACAGAAATCTTGCGGTATAATAAAGGAGGAGAAATTTAACGTCAGCTAGCTTGTCAAATATGAGATGACTTTCCCCGCGACTGGTGTCAAGCGATAGTTTTAACTAAATGCCTAAAATGAGTCGGATTTATTTTTTATAGAAACGCTTTGTGTAGTGTTGAGGGGTAGCACCAACATCACCTCAATTTTGACAGGAATGTCAGTTAACAGCTTTGCAGAGGCCGGTTTTCAACGAAGAATTTCAGTGTGTAGGCGAAGGTCGCGGGTAATGGGTCGACCAGATGATATTAAAAGCATGATCGTTCGTACAAAGACGTTCTGAGTGTAGTTCGACCTGCGTGCATGAGAAGCGACTTCATGGGACGGCTTAAGGGTAGAAAGGAACTATACGACAGGTTCCTTCCAAAACAAGTTAGGTTGCGTAAGCTGTTTTTCTGCCACTATAGGACGAACAAGGAAAGGTTCTGACGATTTATATATGTGCGATACGAAAACCGCTGGATAAACTGGAAACTGAGCACAAGGTTTGTAGTGTTCCTGACTAACACCCGAGGAAAGGCAAAGTTGACTATTTTCGCTAATTCCGATATAGTAGTTGGAGTACATTCGAAGGTTGAGCTAGTCTGGGTGACCCGAGCGTTGTTGTGAGAGAAAACCACCATGCGTTTCCGCGAACGCACGCACCAAAAGGGAACTCCGTTTTACAGACTCGTTAAGCTATACCCCCGGTGACAGTGCATCAACTAGCCGGTTCTTGTTATGCAGCGGTAATGCAGGTTTACCCTCACCGATGGCGCACCATGTTGGACCAGTAGAAGGAAATCATGACCAGATCTACTAAAATAAGCCAAGGCCTTGGTATTTCTAACTTGTCATCTGGGTCACCCGACCTAAACAAGACCAAACGCCCGCTGATGGCGAACCATTTTCTGGGCGAAAAGATGAGTTTGCGGGAGAAAAGTACGAGAGTGTGTCCCTTTCTACTTCATTTAGCAAAGATTTGCGAATTCGCTACTGAAGGACGATTATCATTGAGCCTATTATAGGGGGTGAACGGCTGTATCGACGGGCTGTGCTTCAGGACGACCGAAGACCTGGTTGTGTGGAAATATATACCTGGACTTGTGCAAAATAGCCCCTGTGGTGTCGAGGACCCAAAAGTTAGCGCAACCCCTTTATTGATTTGTGAAATAACATAACCCCACCCTATATCCTCTCCGAAAATAGAACAAAATCTAAACAGCGCAACGTATAAAAATATCCCATCGAATAAGCGTGGCAGCGTCGCAACGCTGTAAACATTAGGACATGAACCTACGAATAAATATATATATACATATATATTTGTGAGCTGGCTTGGCTTTGTAGTTGGCCCGCAGAAACACGCGGTTCATAGCCGCTCAGTCGGTGTCTATGTAGCCGTAGATTTGTGTTACGCGTATATATATATATATATATATATATCGATATATGTATGTATATATCTTGAGGGTTGGAGAGTGCCTGAGACAATCGAAATAAAATAGCTCCTCTCAGACAATATGTCTATATCGTTTTGAATTGACTGTTGCCGGTTTTCGAAAAATTGGTATTCATACCTTGCTTTGGAACCCCCTTGTAAATTACAGTCTAATTCCTAAATGACGCTTATTATTTACATTAGATCATAGTGAATAGCATGAACCCGGCATGTATCGTCAATGCTTCGGTATGTTTTACAGGTCACGCTCATCTCAGATAGCATTACGGTAATACGGTATCTACTAAGCATAGCGTTTTACGATAGCAGCATACATAAATAATATTACGTAATTTGCATAAATATAAAATAAACGCCCATGAACTGTTCCGCTATTAATTTTTATTTCTTTTTTCATTCTCAAATTTTGCAGAAGGTATCGCGTCGACTTCTTGTCACATCTGTTTTATGTTTGTCCAATTGTTATTCATGTTGTCATTGTTGCAGCGGCCAATTTATTAGGCAACTTGGGCATCGCATGCACGTTCGAGATGTTCCTCACATTGGGATTAGCCTTTGCTGTTCCGATCTCAGCGATTGTCGACATTTACCGGCATGAGGTCGTCTTCCAGGGCATGAAACTAGCAGGTATCTTGCTCATCTTACTGGGGTTCATGCTTGTACAACTGCCCGATGACTGGCCAGATTATCTCACCATGTTGTTGCGATACAGGTAATTAGCCGTACTAATCGTGGTGGCGTACGGGCGATAGCGGTGTGTCAACGTACGTCCGCCAGCCACGACTTGTGGACATAGACATCCCGCTACTGCCAAGTGCACCACTATATATATATATATATATAATTTGGTTGTGTTCTGCGAACGGGTCTGGACGAGTTAACTAGACGTTGGCAGTAACTCTTCCCTGCCCACACGACATGGCGTCAATCAGTTATTTTTTTCTATTTGATCTGCAATTATTTTAAAGATGTAGAGGATTAGGATCGAAAGGCACATTGTGTAATCTCGCTAGTGCTAGATCATTTAGCATATGTAGTATATATCATTGTTGTTGCAAAACGACGGTAAACTGCAGTTCTTGGATATATAAAAAAAGATCGATGATGGGGTTACTTTTTCCCGGACGTAAAGAACAGCAAAAACGTACCATTGATTTTGTAGGCTTACTTCTTATTTGAAGTTTAACCAGTTTCCTTTGCCCAAATGACATGACGCTAAATTAAATCAGAATCAGATTACTTATCTAATATTTAGCATAGAAAAGCTCATAGAGACAATATCAATTTTAAGTAGATTACCGAGACCTTAATTTTAATTATTTGTAACGCTGTTCGAATCAGATACTAGAAAAGTTTATCTTCGCTTACGTACAAGCGTGTACAAATTGCTTTATCTTTCTATTAATATTTATAAGCAGACGAATAGCATGGTTACATACGATGAACTTCGTACGCGAACTACATACGCTTTCTAAAATATATACTTGCTTATGTGGTAATTTTCTTTACTCAGAAATTATACTACAGTCTAATGTATCTAGTATACAATATGTTCATGGCGTCCTCACAAGCGACTTGTCTCCTCTAGAAGAGCAAAACAAACCTGCGCTATTTTCGGTTCGTTCTCTACTGGATTTTCCCATCGTTCCGTTTAACGCGTCATTGTCGAAACAGCCACCTATAACCCCATAGTCTCCCTTTTGCCTCCCCCATCCGCCCGTCATATTTCTCGCTGTCCTGTTGCAGATCTACTGACATGCGAGCAGTCGTTTACATTGTTGTGCCTATTTACATGAACTGTCTAACCCTAATGGTCTTCCTCTTAATACTGTATACTTAAGCCCCCCTGTACGTTGCCCTCTCTCTATTATCTGTTATTCTATATCATAAATTTGATAAAAATGGATCCAGAAATAGGAATTCCTTCCAAGTTCAATCTGACGTATTCATTTGTTTTAGTGTTGCAGTTCAAGTCCGCAACAGTATTACGCAATCATAATAATAGAAATGCCCTTATTATTGACGTCTTATGGTAGTAGTTTCATGTCGAAAGCCAATCCTTGCTTAAGCGGTTACCCTTGTACGATCTCTACAGATAGATCAGTAACCACCTATCTATAGATATTACGTAATAGTACTATATTAGTAATAGTAATATAAAATAGCTACAACCTGCGTTTCTCTATTTTCTTCCTAAATCTCACTCGTATATTTGATTTGTTTACCAATTTTGCCTTTGTATTTCAATTGTTCGTTCGACGTCCCTTTCTTTTTCCCTCATTTCTCTATCAGAGCTCAATGTGAAAATTGTACATTTTCTTACTCTTTGTGTTTCTTCTCTTTTCTATATTTTTCGATCAAAGTAGTAGAATTGATTAGTGCTATTCATATATTGATGTTATATATCCTTTCTTTCCGTAGCCTGTATGGATGCAAGAACTGTTGATCTGTATGGGCCTGCTGTGCTCACACTTATGCCTGACTCTGCGCAAACCTCTTTCTCCAAGTCTGCACAGAGGCATAGACATGTCGAACCCGTACCCGTAGCGAGATAGACGACCATAATATAGTCAGATCGGTCTGATCGTCTGCCAGAGTCAGAGTCACCACTCGATCAGACCATTCAACAAACTGCCCAGAGTCCATCATGCGAATCATCTCGATCTATGTGTGTGTGTATGTATGTATCCTCCACCAACTATAGCTATACTTCGTACGCGATGACATGTGTCCAACAAAGACGTTGTGTGTTAATCAATCAATAAAATCGCCAAATAAACAATGGAGCTACTGATGCTCGTAGTGATGATTAGGTGTTACTGTGAATCGCAGCAAGGGATCATACTTGCGCTAGAAATCCCAGAGACCCAGAGTAGCCAGTATCAAGCGACAATTTGAGTAAGAAGTGAGTGTTAGCCATGATGATGATGATCAGCATGGTGAACAGGCAGTGGTGAGCGGTGGTGAACAGACGAATATCAGCACGAAATAATGAGCAGGGCAGCTCCGCGTAAGTAGAATTACATTCGAGTGATGCTCTTGCACTGCCCAGACAAATCACAGTCCCTACCTCCCATATTTCCCTTGAAATACTATGATTTGTGCACCTCCAGTCCAAACCAACAGCTAGCTAATTTATCAGCAGCCGTTGACACCCCCTCACTATTATACCGAGAGCTTCTACACCTACCTCCGAGACTACCCGCTGCTTCTTCGAGAATGCTGCATCTTCTGGAAACATTTTCGGATGATTCCATTTATTCGATCTTTTTTTTTTTTTTTCGAAATACGTCTGACACTTACTGGAATAATTCCGAAGTAATTTGTCTTCTTTTGGCAAGCTTCTATTTCATTAACTGACGAGCCAAGTAAAAGAAAAGCAAAAAAAAAATCAGCGTCTTACGTTGTCCTTCGGACAAGCTCCGAAGGGTTATATAGATTTGTATTATACAATGATAGAATGTCCTTAATAAGGTCTTTGTATAATCCCCGTATCGATATTAGCAGTGAGCGGCGAAGCAACGTGTATTTTTTCTGAATTTTTCTAACCTCCTCGAATTATTCCACAGATGATCGATCCTCCGCATTAAAATGCTGGAACCATCGATCTCGTAAACGCGAATTAAGTTCTTTTTTTCTCACTTACGAAATAGCTTTTTTGCAACAATTCTACACCTGTTGACATTGCTCGTGCTATTTTGCCGGGTCCTATGACTACAGATTTCTCTTTTAATCCATATTTAAACTCTACTTCTCCGCCTCTTCATTGTTGCTCTACCCCCTTTTCCACGGAGCATAATTCCAAGCCTTTCAGCCATATTCGCTGTAAGCACACAGTGGCTCTGTGTCGGGCGCTATTTGAATGAAAACTTTAAGCTAAACGCTATCTCGTGCTTTGACAAGTCAGACGCGTAAAAAAATATACAGGATTACTTTAGCCGCTGCTACTGTTATAAACTTGTGCTGTTTTTTTTTTTTTTTTTTTTTTTTTTTTTTATACTACTGACTGCTACTGGCATCGTTTCGGTAACTTTTTGAAACGTTTTAATATTTCTTTTGTCGAAAACACTTGACAATAAGGATTTACAGCAGCGTATATTATCGAAATTGGCTAGCTTATCAGCGACTTTTTTTTGGAGATGTTCCATGCATAGAAGGGCGCTGCTATGGCAGACAAGACTCTCCTTTTTCTATTGATAGCGTGGTAATACAACTGACTGTAATCGAGCCTAACAGAGCCAGCCGACTGTGAATTTAATTTTTAATCACTCATCTATGGATTATTTATGTGAATTTTCCATGCAACTTTTGTGTCATACGACTACGGCAGTGCTAAGTTTTCGGCCTCACTCGTTTAACCCGGACAGAGGGTCATCATCGTCATACCATATTCGTACAGAATGATAACCTGCTTAATTTTCTGGGTCGATGTATGTAAATTTATATGGTTTTCTTTAAAGAACGGTAAACATTTTTCTACCTACCTGTTTTTGTCAATTGAACGGTCTGCGTTTACCACTGACCAGGAATGAGTGAGTGTGAGCGAGTCGAATTTGAACAGAGTTCATATTTACCTATGAGTGAGAATGCTTGGGAGCATAGACCTGTTTTCCTTCTAATATTGACTTTCCTAAATATCGCGTTGGTTGATATATGAAAATGTTTCCGTGTATTATGCCTAGGTAGGTAATGGTGATGTTCAGCGAAGGCCTCGTTGCAAGTTTTCCACTACGGTTCGATGATAGTGCGACGTGCTACGTGAGTTGTCTGGAAAAAACGAGCGTAAATTAAGGAAAATCTATATTAATTTCAAAGTAAGAGATAATGCCAGTAACGAAGTTTCAAGCAAATCTCCCGAATATATCAATGAGAACCCTGAGAAAAGTCAATGTATAAATGAAAAAAAAAAAAAAGAAAACATAATCTAGCTCACTCATCCATGATCTCTCTCAGCCTTTCCCATACGCATAGTATCATGGCTCCTGCCAACATCTCGCTTGTTGCTTTCATGGAACAGCTCAGTCTAACAGCATTATTATAATAAATCAGCTAAAATGAGAAGTTCATAGTTTTCTATGTAGTCTCGCCGCATTGTACCGACACAGACGACGAGCTACCAATAGAAAAGCTAATAGATAGAGCTACACACCGCTAAAATCAGGTCGGCTTGCTCTACGTCATTGAATAGCAGTCACGTAGAAATTTTCGAGATATGTAAATCAAATAGTAACACCGAAGTACTTGACTGATCTCAGGAAATCTTTCTCTTTTCTGTGTACGTATTTTATGAATATCTATCGTTCATATTTTGTTTCAACCTCGATCATACAACCAGCTGAGATTAGACAAGC